CATTTCCATTTGATTTTCCCATGTCCAATCGTGAAAACCTAAACTTTGAAATCTTGAAAGCGAAACCACCTGATCTTAATCGAGAGTTATCTTAAGTGATTTCGATCATTTAAGATGTAATTAACTATAAGGGCTTGCCTCTATAGGGGACCAGGAACCCAGATAAAATAAACCCTATTTAATTTTTTTTATGTTAGATAGGGGAACTTGTTGGCCTTTTTATAAAAATATTTCGCAGATCAAAACGGATGTCACAAATTGTTTAGTCTAGATGATTAAATCTCTATTACAAGTAATATATTTATTCTTCGGGATAAGTGTATTGCTTGTAGTATTGTATTAAATCATTTAAACTATTTAAAAATGTGAGACTCGTTTGGTCTCACTTATTTTAAAAATTAAAAAACATTACTACTTTAAAAAAGTTATATTTATATTTAAATTATTTTCAAAATCGCAAAATCATCACCGTTTCCAAACTACGAAAGTGAAGTTGAACAATAAAACGGCCGACAGTAGTGTTTAAAAATATGATTTGATTAGATAAATTATATTGCCCTCCAATCGCCCACCATTCTTTCCTTGCCCTCACACTCTGCTACCCCATGGCCAAGCTTGCAAGCATCTTTTTCACAAGTCATTATTTTATACTATAGCTCACTGTCTATCTTCTCTAGTATCTGGTTGTGATAGGTGATTTTTGTTGGTTGTAATCTGAGCTACTTAATTTTCTCTTTTTTTTTTCTTTTTGAATACTCTGGAGGACGTTGAGTAGGTGCTCTTGATATGTCCATTTGTGTAGTTAAATGTGTATATTTAGCTCATTCTAGTTAGGGACGTGCTGAATGGCTAATTTATGCTGATTTGAATGGTAGTTTTAGTAGATTATGAAGATTTTGGTTTAATACATAGATGGCATGGGAAGGTTCGATTATGTGGATATAACGATGTTTAATTATTTTTTTTTCCTTCAAGTGCTGATGCTTGTTTAAGCATACATATGCATCTTAAATCTCACTTGTTGGCACATTTTTCAATGTTTAAAGAAACCTCATGGATCATAAATTCATTTTTATTTAGTTTGTGGGCCGTGTCAATTAAGCAAACTATGCATATTTTTATAACAGGACTGTAATTAACTTTGGATTTACTGATTCAGTTCTTGAATATCATAGTGGATGCGCTAAAGAATGAGTCCACCGGAGTACGCATCGCAGCATGCACGTGCATAAGGAACATTTCTAGGTCTGTGAAGGTCTGTAACACGAACCTATCTTTTATTTGTACGAGGCAAGTAGTTTTCCACTTGTATTGATGAATTTAGGTTCAGAATCTCTGTGCAGGCCGCCTATCCAATGAAAGAGTTATTGTTCCGCTGGTTCGGCTATTGAATGACACTTCTAATTCTGTTCAGGTGTGTGCCTTTCAGTAGTTATCATTCTATTGACTGGTGTGATATAATTATACACATATCGGTCAGTCTGACTCATCATTTGAAGTGCTATTGCTTGTAGGAGTTTCTTTTGTTGTGTCCAGACCCACTGCATTAATTAGAATGCCATCTTTGACATGTAATACCAAACTTATTTTTCATAATTCTAAAAAAAAAAGCATTGTATTCTTTCGTGGACCTCAAAATTTTGTTGAATAACTTTCTCTATCAGCTCTTATAAAAGAATTTTAAACAACTTACATACATACCACTCATTTTTTATTTATTTACATGTCAAACGCCTAAACTTCAACTTTTATAGATATGCGACCTTTTCTATGCATGAAAAGTTAAATTTCACTTTTTAAAAGTTAAAGTAGTGGTGTTTTTATGTGTTATGAAAGATTTGGATGGTATAAATGTAAAAAAAAGCAAAGTTTAGGTGTTAGATATGTAAATATATAAGAATTAGGTGGTATGTATGTAAATGCTTCTTTTTTTATTAATTATTAGGGTTAAATTATGCCTGAGAACAATTGAAAGCCTACATGCATTTGGTTTTATTGTTGTTTTAAAAATTGGTATTGATGGTTATTGGCCTACTTCTTGTTCTCAAAAATCAATGATTGAAAATTGTTACTCTCAAAATCCAAAATTTTAAAATGCTGGTGGATTTATGGTACCCCATAAAAAACCCAATAACTTAACTAAGATCAATATTCTCCATGTATTGTTGCATTTAAATGCATTTCGTTATGTACATGCAACATAATGTCAACTCGGGTTGATGAGTTAAGTTCTAGCCTTACTTGAAGTTTCTTTGAACTGAATCTATTTGACTTGAATTCTACTTGTTTATTATATAAATCAAAATATTTGACCTAAACTTGACCCGCAAATCTGAACCTGACCTATCCAATCGATCTGTTTTATGGATCATGCAAATTTTTGAATCAACACAATTCACTTATTCTAAATTTGACTTTTGTAACGTAACAATATATGTCTATTCTAACCATGTGTTTCTAGTCTTACTTGAAGTTGCTTTGAACTGAATCTATTTTACTTAACTAATCAATTTATTTTATGGAGCATGCAATTTTTTGAATCAACATAATCCAATTATTCTAAATATGACTTTTTTAACCTAACAATGTATGCTATTCCAATAATGTATTTTTAGCTTTTCAAAACTCAAACTTGAATAATAATCTGGCCATTTAAGTTGATAATTGGAGTATTTGTGTCAAAAGGAACCTCACCTGAATACTAATTGGATTTACAATTTAGATCCGGACCCAATCTAAATCTTAATCAGCTCAACGTACGCCTAGATTTTTTTAAATGTGATTTGTGTCAGACTATCATGATAGGTTATTTGTTGACATCCCTATCTATAAATTATACTTATATTCCTGTTTAATGTTGCATAGGTCTTTAATTCTAATTTATAGAAAACTTTTACATAAGTTGTTGTTTTTTTATTACTTATAATTTTCATTTGGTATTTTAATATTTTGAAATAATGATATAATGATCAAAGTATTAAATTTAATCTTAGTATGCCCAATTACTCGTACCTTATCCTAGTATAGGACTTCATTTGACGTTTTTCTTGGGCAATTTAATCTAACCAGTTTGCGTCATGTTGTTGATTCCCTAACCTAGAAATTAAGAATTTGTTTGGGTTACCTAAAAGGGCCATACATAATCGAAATTGCACCCATATTTATGAGAATTTCAATCTAAAAGTTTAGGCCAATGAATATTACTTGATCATCTATTTTTCTTTGTTTGTTGTTTTTAAAATTTTTTTATGTATATTATTACCAGTGGTGGAAATAATGTCCCATATTTTAGGCTATTGACACTATAGTTTTCCACCTTCCAATTGCCTATATTTCTTCTATATATTTCCACACATGGAAGTGGTTTGAACTTGTGGATTTTGTTTATGTAACTAGCATTGGGACCTCCATATCTATCGCTTGCCTTATTCCTACATATCTTAAAAGGTTTTTTTTTCCGCTTGTAATTAATAAAATATTTGATATAGATTTTAAATTTTGAAAAAAAGGTTGTTCTGAACTTAAGACTAGACTAAGCCAAGAAAACTCTAGTCATTTAGATACAATGTTACATTGATAAAGATGGTGCGTGACGTTGCTAAAAAATAGAACTTAAATAGAAGTGTGATTTGCTTGTTCAGAATGGTGGTTTTGGTAGTTCTATACATAAAATTGGTCATTTTTTTAAAATTCTATTGTGGTGTAGGCAATGAGCACGTGAGAAATATTATTCTTGTATCAAAGATGTAGAAAATTGTTTTTTGAATGGATTGTTAGTGGATGTATGACATGATATCATGTCTTTTGATACTGTAATGACATTTTTGTTTGCTTATTGCATATTCATTCTCCGTTTAAACAGTGGGACTAGGAACACCATCTTTGTCTGTGTTCTAATTTATGTCATCTTTTATCATGATGTCTTCTCTATTTATTTCTATTAACTATAAATGCGTTAGTTTTAACTAAGAAAGTATTCATTAATAATTTCTAGATGATATCTCAAGTGATCTAGCTTATCATATGAATTAAAAAAGGGGACATTTACATAGGTAGGATCCAATTCTTATGAATTTACCTATCTCACACAAAACTTTCATATTTACAAACACCATATGAAAAAGAACAATCATTACACCTTTTAATAGTCAATTCTATTTTTTCATCCATACGTAAAGTATGTGTAAAAATGAAACTTTAGGTGTGAGATAAATAAATCCATAAGAATCTCTTAAAAAAATCAAGCTAAAAGTCTAATTATAGGAGCCAAGGGTAAAACCAAGAGATCGAGGAAAAGTTTCAACTACAAGAGTCCAATCAGGTGTTCAATAAAGATCTGCCCAAAGCCTAAATCTATTTTAAATATAATTTGTATTTTTTATTTTATTTTTTATTTTTTCACCTAAGGACATTGACGATCAGCTTTAACATGTTATAGAATGGAGAAAGTGTTAAAATAAAAAAGTTTTTTGAACTTCTCCATTCATGACCACCACCCTATTCCTCTTTTCTCTCTAAATATGATAGTCTTGTAATGTCCACAAATATAGGGTACTGTATATAATATTCCATTGTTGAATGAAATATTTTGGTAGGGAAATATTTGTTTCATTTTGTTGGGAGCTTGGTGGACATATTTTAAAAAATTTTGTGAGATTTATATTTATATTTGTCCTTTTTAACTTTTAAACTCTTCTACTCCAAACCTTCCTTCTCCCTCTACACCAAAGCATCCTCCAAGATCAAACATACATCACCCGAGGTCCCACAATCACTCGAGACACCTCCATAAAGCTCATAGTGAAACCACGGAATACTAGGACCCAGTCTTTTTCCCTACACCTTGACATCCATTTAAACTCCGCTAAATTTGATAATATGCTCCAAATCATAAGGTCACCTTGTAAGCTAACCTTCCATAAGTATTTTCATAACTTATTTAGCATAAAATTCATTGCTCTTAAATCAAACCTTGATGGACCAATTTGTATCAATCTTAAGATTTCTATCGCTATACTCTACTAAACCGTTATCATTCCATCATAAAATCTTGATCACATTTCTAGACATTAACTAAAGACCCATGGCTATTTTTAGTCGTTAGGCTCACTAAAATATTATCCACCACTTTCATATTTGATGTCAGAACAAAGCCTGAAAAGAGCAATTCTGGTCAGAACATTTTTTTAAACGAGGGGTTTTCCTAAAATCTTGTGAGTTATTCCAAAAACATTTGGGGTGAATTATGTCCTTTCTTATTATAACGTAAAATCATAGTAAAAATAGTTCTATAACTATATTACTTACAAGCCTATAATATATGCATAACCTATACTATATGCAAAACCTAGACAATTTTTCCTGTAGGAATTTATGCTTTTTAGCTATTAACTTAGTGAGGGAGTGCTCTACTCATAAAATAATCTTACTCTTAGTGCAAAATCGTTTTTAGTTGCTTGTTTTATTATTATTTATTTATTTTTGATAATGCTCATAGTTAAATCTTGAAACTTGTTTTCACTAGGTTTACTTTTCCTTTAACTCAATCACAGAAGAATCTTAATTGTTTTTACACATTTTTATTTTCACTTAAAAGTGTACGCATAAGCGTATAAATTTGCTAAACTTGGTTTTTGAAAGGCTAAATAGAAATTTGGGAAATTAAATTTTGTAAGGAGAGTTATAATTTAAGTGGTATTTCGCTCTTTTTTTCTCACCTGAAGGTTTTTTTGCCTCAGATTCACTTTGATTACACTTTTTTATTTTATTTTGTTTTTCTCTCTCTTCTTAAGACTCTCTCTCAATTATCTATTACATCTATTTTTCAAAAATTTACATTCATACTTTATATTGCCCATATCAATCTCAATTGGTCATGTTAAAAACATAACTAGGATGATATGGGTACTAAACATTAGTTTGCATGAAAAAAATATGAAAACTCGAGTTAAAGAAAGCAAGGTCCCAAATGCAAGAATTGAATTATCATATATAAGCCTGTATGAATCACCTATAATATAGTGTCAATGGGATTTCTTTCCCATCTCCGAACCTACAGACACTGATAATAAAATCCAAAACTCATCCTCTTAAAACCAATAGACAAGACATCTTTAATTGCATCTCATCAACACACATCAAACCTTCAATCTAAACCAACTTTAAAGAATTAAGCCAAGCTGCAATTTATAGTCATAAGATCTACTGGGAGGGTTAACGATTTTGTTTCTAACCTTATGAGTGGTGAACATACTTCATCTTTAGTTTTAGTCGTTATAAGAGAAGAGAGTAGGATTTGATACCTTGATGTAACAATCTTCTGATCTTACATCATCACAGTAATTTAGGAATTTTACATAAGATTCATTTTATTTTCACAAACTTGAAATGGTGCATTTCTTACACATGATTGTA